TGTCTTTGATAGGCTCTTAGTAGACTGGACATAGCCAGGGAAGGGGTTTCTGAACTTGAGGATATGTCAATAGAAACTTCTAAAACTGAAATTCAAAGAGAGCAAAGACTGAGAAAAAGAAAGCATAACAATTACAAAAAGTACGGAACAACTGCAAAAGGTGTTACGTACACACAATGGAAATATGAGAAGGGAAAACAAAGAGAAAGGAACAAAAGAAATATTTGAAACAATAATAACTGGGAATTTCTCAAATCAATGTCCAATACCAAACCACAGATCCAGGAAGCTTAAAGAACACCAAGCAGGGTAAATGCCAACCTCCCCCCCAAAAATGATATACTACACCTAAGTATATCATCCAAACTGCAGAAAATCAAAGATAAAGAAAAAATCTGAAGCCCAAGGAAAAAGAAAACTTACCTATAGAGGAGAAAGATAAGAATTACACTTAGCTTTTCCTTGGAAACTATGCAAGCAAGAAGAGAGTAGAGTAAAAATATTTAATGTACTGAGAAAAAAAGCCCACCAACCTATAATTCTATACCCTGTGAAATTACCTTCAAAAGTGAAAGAGAAATAAAGACTTTCCCAGACAAAAATTGAAGGAATTTGTTGCCAGTAGATCTGTCTTGCAAGAAATGTTAAATAATGTTACTCAGAGAGAAGGAAAATTATATAGATCAGAAACTCAGATCTATATAAAGGAAAAACATCAGAGAAGAAATGAGTGAAGGTAAAATAACAAACTTTATTCTTATTCCTAATTGGTCTAACAGATAACACTTTGTTTAAAATAATAGCAACAATGTATTTAATTATATATGCTTGTATAATATATATGCTTATACATGCTATATGTAAGTGAAATGAATGATAGTAATGAATCCCAACAAGGGATGAGAGGGAGGAATTTGGATTATTTGTTATTACAAGGTGCTTTCACTACTTATGAAGCAGTATACTGTTATTTGAAAGTGGATTTGAATTCATTGTAAATGTATGAGGTCTGTCCAGAAAGTATCCAGCCACATAATATGAAAAAATAGGGACATTTACTGAAGAAGATAAAAGATACAAGAAATATTGTACATAGGACAATGATGCCTCAGTCCCCTTGGGACCTCACACAGTTCTCCCAGCATCTCTTAACCTAACCCATACACATTCAACATTGTCAGGTGTTCTGCTTGCTGCACGCCTTCCAGAACGTGGATCACATTCAACAGATTGTCATCCATCTTTGAAGCATTTGTGCCACACTTTTATTTGTGCTGCACTCATTGCATTATTCCCGAAAGCCTTCTGAATCACCTGAATAGTTTCCGCAGAGGAATGTTCAAGCTTAACGCAAAATTTGATGCAGATTCATTGCTGTACTCGCTCGGTCATTTTGAATGCGACAGGCATACAGTACACATGCTCACTCCACGGCATCTAGCGCCCCACTGACCAGTACAGTGAAGTCATCATTGTTCATGAATGCACATCCCAGTCCACTCTCCTTGGCTGCCAGGTTACATCGATGTTGTGCAAACTATTCTTGTTATATTAACAATGGCTGGATACTTTCCAGACAGACCTCTTTTTATATTGCAAACAACAGGGGAAGCACTAAAAAAAATTTTAAAAAGAAATATAACTGATGTGCTAAAAAATAGGGGAGAAAATAAAGTCATATAAACTGATTAATTGAAACCACAAAAGGCAGAAAAAGAATGGAAAATGAAGGACCAAAAGACAAAGGCATCAAATAGAAAACAGTAACAAATATGGTAGGCATTCATCCAACTATATCTAGTATATCAATGGCCTAAATACGCCAATTAAAAGACAGATTGTCAGAGTGGATCAGAAAACAAGACTCAAATATATGTTGTCTTTAAATATATAGACATATATAGATTAAAGGTAAAGGATAGAGAAAGATATACCACGTTGACACTAATCAAAAGGAAGCTGGGGGCTGGGCGCGGTGGCTCACGCCTGTAATCCTAGCACTCTGGGAGGCCGAGACGGGCAGATTGTTTGAGCTCAGGAGTTCAAAACCAGCCTGAGCAAGAGCGAGACCCCGTCTCTACTAAAAATAGAAAGAAATTAATCGGATAACTAAAAATATATAGAAAAAACTAGCCGGGCATGGTGGCGCATGCCTGTAGTCCCAGCTCCTCGGGAGGCTGAGGCAGGAGGATCGCTTGAGCCCAGGAGTTTGAGGTTGCTGTGAGCTAGGCTGACGCCACGGCACTCTAGCCCAGGCAAGAGAGTGAAGACTCTGCCTCAAAAAAATCAATCAAACAAACAAAAACAAACAAACAAACAAAAAACCCAACTATATGACATCCTGCAAAAGGCAAAACTATAGAGAATGTAAAAGATACAGTGATTGCCAAGGGTTGGGGGAAGCGGGGGATGACTATATGCAGCACAGAGGATTTTTAGGGCACTGAAAAAATGCTGTATGATACTATAATGATAGATACCTGTCAATATACATTTATCAAAACCCACAGAACACCAAGAGTGAACCCTAATGTAAACTGTGGACTTCAGGTGATAATGATGTGTCAATGTAGGGAAAGCTGTGCATATGTGGGGGCAGGATGTATTTTGTATCTCCATATACATTCTATACAGAATATACCATCAACTTGAAACTGTTTCTAAAAAATAAAATCTATTTTTTAAAAAGACTCAGCCAAAAAAGAAAACTACAGAATGATCAAGTAGGGTTGATCCCAAAATACAATGACGGGTCAATATCAGAAAAAAAAAAAAATGTACCAATGTAATCCATCACATTAAAACTGAAAGAAAAAAAAGGATATACTGTTACCAGATGTAGGGAAAATATTTAGTTAAAAAAAAGTAGTAAATAAACAGTATTTCATGAAAATAAAAACTCTCTGAAAACTATGAATAAAAGTAAAATTTTTAGGTTTTCAAAGACTTTCTACCAAAAATATGCAGCATACCTCATCTTAATACAGAGATATAGGCACATTCTCTTTAAAATTAGCAATAAAATAGAACCAAAAAAAAGAAATAAATTTAATTCAAAGATTGTAAGGAGATATTTTAAGTGTGTTGTTAATAAGATTGATTCTTTACATGGAACATTCAGCAAGGCCAACAGACAAATTACTAGAACTAATCAGAGAGTTTAGTAGGTTTGCCAGAAAGGAGAATAATACATATACAGAGTAATAGTAGAAAAAGTAGTGGAAAATAAGATGCCATTTAAATAGCAAACTAAAAATGTGAAGTGTCTAGGAATTAACCTAACCAAAAACACATGGAAACTATAGGAGGAATTTTTAAAACTCCAGTAAAATGTATAAAAGAAGATCTGAATAATTTCAGGCATATTTATGAATGGGAACAATTTAACATTGTAACAGTGTTAATTCTCCCTAAATTAGACTATTATAAATTCAATTCCAATAAAAATATCAACTGGAATTTGAGGGGCTCTGACAAACTGGTTCTAAATGCTATGTGGAAGAATAAAATTTCGTGAACATCTAAGACCATTTTGAAAAAAGAAGAGAAAAAAGGAGGGAACTCTACTGACAAATGGTCAGGCATTACAAAGCCTAGTAACGTGAACAGTGTTTTCTGGAGAAAAGGCTGACCCAGATACAGACTGTGAATATAGGAAACTTGCTGTCTGATAGGGATGGGATGCCAAACGTGATGAGATTTGGAAACACTGACTCACTGTGTGGAAAAAATAGTAAAGTTTATTCCCTTAAAAAAAAAAAAAAACAAAAAAAAACCTTTAGCTGGATTTGGATTAAAAACCTAGACGTGAAAGGTAAAACTAAAAGCCAATAGGAGAAAAGGTAGCTGGTGTCTTCATGACCCCAGGAAGGAAAGATTTCGTAAACAAGACTTAAAATGCACAAACTATGGATAAATTGACCAACATTAAAGTAGCTGTACATGTGCAACAAGCATCATAAAATTATCAGAGAGTTGACAGACTGGAGTAGGACAGTGTTGAAAACTGATAAGTGACTAATATCTAGAATATAAAAGTTATTTCTGCAAATCAGAGAGAAGACAGGAAACTCGACAGAAAAAAACGAGCAAAGTATATGAATAGGCAGTTCATAGACGGGGAAAGGCAAATAGCTAGTAATGTAAGAAGAGACATTCAGCTTCACAAGAAATCAGAAAAACAAAAATAAAACCACAATTAAATACTACTTTACACATACCAGATTGACAAAAATTAGAAAGTCAGAAAATACCAAGTGTTGGTGGAGAAATGACAACCCTCATGCTTTTCTTGTTGTAATATCAACTGGCTGTTTTAGAGATCAATCTGGCAGTACTCAGTCAAATAGTGTGGAAATTTACTCTGTGATCAAGCAATTCTATGCATAGATATCCAGAAACGCTCTTGCACTGGCATGCAGGAGGACATGCAAGAGAATATTCATTGCATCCTTGTTTGTGTTTGCTAACAGTCCAAAGGAACCTCCTGCCTGTCACTTAAGACTGAGCAAGGAAAGGATTTAGGCGGCAAGCAGTCTGAAGAAATGAGCTGGATTTACAGTTAGCAGCTGGATGGATATATCCCAGAAACATAATGTTAAGTGAAAAAAAGTTAGAAAAAGCATTAGATTTATTTCCCAATACTTTTCATGAATATTCAACACACAAGCACAAAGCAACACTAATTTTCAAGGATAGATGTATGTCCAAATAAATACATGGAAGCTGGATTAGAAAGACGTATATTATATTCCTTAGAGTAGGCAACTTTGGGGACACAGGAATGGAAAAAGGAATGGAAGATGAGGGAAAAATAATCCTACAAATAACACTACACAGGATCTTTGCACAAGCCGTGGTGCTAGTTCTCCATGGACTGAGAAGTAGGATGAACTTAAATCTGTGATCCTGAAGTCCATAAAAAGAAATCAATTCTTCCTAAAACTGCTTTGATGAGCTGCTTTTTAATATCTGTATCCCTCCTCTTTTCCCCCATAAAGATTTGCTGGCTCCTCTCCAGGTCTCTGCAGACTCAGGGGGCGTGGACAACATTGTGGTGACCTGGCAGCCTCCCAGGAAAGCTCCCTCTGCTGTTGAGGAGTACGTGCTGGAATGGAGGGAGCTCCGTGCAGGAGGGGACACACAGCCCCCTCTAAACTGGCTGCGGAGTCCCCCCTACAATGTGTCTGCTCTGATTTCAGGTACCTAATTGTTCGCCTTCCTTCTGGGGGGTTACTAAGTTCATGTGTATTTGGGGAAACTGCAGGCAGGAGTCCAGAATCTGCCTTCAATTACAGGTGGCTGCCTGATAAAGGGGCAGCGATGACCTAGAGTCCATCCAGACAGCACCTCAGAATACACCGCTGCAGCCACAGACCAACTGGTCAGTGTGATAGGCACTTTATCTTTGGGAATTCGTTTAATTCACAAAACAGTCATGTGCTGTTAGAGGCCTTACACCCTTTGTACAGAGGAGGAAACCAGAATGTCCTTCATTCCCAATTCCGCTGCTGATTATCTGGGTAATAATAAATCCAAAATTATCTATATGATAATTGGTGTCTATAAGTCCTCAGGCTCCTAATCTGTCAGTGGTTAGAATCAAGTGAGAGAACACATCTGAAAATATGTTAAAATGATTGGATAGGACTTAATGACTATTTTTTGTTTTTTGGTTCTTTTTTTAGCTACAGCTACTAGAATAGGAAGTTAATGTCATTTTTAAGCATGAGTTCAGTGAAGTGGTTAAAAGTTCTGGTTCTGCAACCAGACTACCTGGGTTTGAGTCTTGGTGTGATCTAGGGAAAATTATTTAAATTCTCTGTGCCTCCGTTTCCTCATTTGAAAAATGGGGATAATATTACCTACCTCATTGGGTTATTGTAAGGAATAACTGAATTACTATATGGAAAACATTTTGAATAATGCCTTACACATTTTAAGTGCTCAATAATTTAGCTATCATTATTAAATGTGATAGAGCTAAGATTTTAATAGATCTTCAAGCTCTAAATCTTATAATATTTCCATGCACCGTAACAATCATTACAACTGTCTAGGAGGATATACACACCCTGCTTAAGTTGACAAGATTTACACAAAATGAAATAACAGAACACATTGGATGATAATATGTGAGTCCGTCCTTAACTGTGTGCTTGTTTTATAGTCTGGCTGTTCAGACTCCTAGTAGGTTAAGTTGTAATCACTACCCTTAAAGAGAATACTGCTTAGATAACCCAACAAGCATTCAGAGGAAGGCGAGCAAGTCATTGAGAGTCTGGAACTTTTAATCCGGAAACCATTTAGCCTAGGGAGGAGAATTCTAGATGGGGGGATGGCTTGATGGCTGTTGCTGGTTTTGATGTGTACATGCAAAAGAGTATGGTTCCTTTGTTGCTCTGGAGAGCAAAACAAAGGTCCTGCGTGGAAATTATAAGAAGGCAGATGGCAGCTCAATTTTGAGAAAGAACTTTCCTACCTTGGGTGGTCTCTAACAGGACAATTGATTACCTCTCAAAGCAGCATTTTCCCTATCCCTAGAGTTTTTGTAATGGAACCAATTTTCCTTCAGGGCTAATGCCCATCAAATCAGAAGAAAGAGTGGACTAAAAAAAAGTATTTACCAAACTTCAGGCAGCTATGAAATTGTAAACATTGTAAGCTGTATCAGGATTTACCCCTGTGGGAGAGTTTGAACTATTTGGTCTCTACAGTTCCTTCCTTCTAGAAATTCTATAATTCTATACAAATCCCTTAAAATAGATGGCAAGAAAGAATGTTTTCCATAGTCGGTAAAATAAAATGTTTTTAGGCACTTCAGAAATATTCATTTGAATAAAATCAATATACTAATGATAACTTTATTAATTAAAATTGTTCTACTTGGAAACACTTGGTTAGCTATTAGTTTATGTTGATAGTACAGTCTGGATATACACACTTAAAAATTAAGTAATTCACACTTATCATAAATTCAAAATGGCCCTCTCCAGTCAGTAAGATCACTCATTGTCATTGGATCCTCACCAGCCTTTTCCCAGCGTCTGGCTGGCGCAGAGATGAGTGTTTTGGAGTGGGCCGGAATACAGCCCAGCTCCTGGCTTATAGGTTGGTGGAGCCTAGACTCAAGACCAGTCCTGTCCTGTCTGGGTGAAAACACTTTTGACCATACAGCCACTCCTTTTACAAATATGTAACATCATGGTGTCTAGAAAACTTTCCCTGATGCCTAGACTAACAAGGGTTCCTCTTCTGCATGCTACCATCTCACTGCCTCTAGGATTACTCCTTATTACTGATCGCTTGATGTTTGCCTTCTCCCACACTTGAGAGGTGAAATTAGCTTTCTGCAGAAAAACCACCTAAGAGATGGTTGATAAACGTGGGGACAGGGACTGTGCCCAAGGGTGCCAGGTTTGCGTGTATCTACAGGAGTGGTGGGAAATGAGCCTGGAAATTGGGGCCAGACTCTAAAAAGGAAATGAAAGTCTTGGGAGTGTAGGCTTCATCCACGGAAGGTTTTGAGGTGGGGAGCTGACATCATTAGGGAGCCTTCATATAAGAATTAGCCAGTAAAACAGGAGTCTTCAGGTCAGAACCAGGGAACGGGTTCCCTAGGAAGGCTTTACTCTGGGTGGAAAGGGAAATGCCAGCTCAGTTATGGGGCCACCTTGTCTTCCCCCCTCCGTTTACGAGAAGAAACCCACAGCTTCTGATGTAGCAGTTCCCAAGGCTCTACCCTGAACTCACATTTTGCATGGCAGAATGCACTGGAACTATTTGCCTAATGTGCTCATCTGGAACTCCCACGCCTCCAGTGGCACAGTGGTTGGTTGGCCCCTCCCATGCTTCAGGACAGAACAGCCAGGCAGTGGGAGCCAAAAGCTACTCACGAGCCCCTCCCAAGTGAAGTATGATTCCACATCCCATGTTGCCCTTTGGGCTTCTGGGTCTTGATGCCACCCGTGAGGAATCTTTGGATGACAAGACCAAGCTGTGTCCTTTTCTCTGTTTCACTTGGTTCATGAACTCAAATTGGAATTCACCCATGGCATGTGTTTTGATCTCGTCATGGTCTCCTCTGACAGTACTGGTTGCACAACGGAGTTTTATGCGCTGCCTACTTGCTGGAATATTTAAGGGGCAATGGGTTTTCATATAAAACACACACAATTTAGTAAATTATTCTATGATGTAAAATTCTTCTTCCTGAAGAAAGAAAATGTTAAGCCCTCAATAATTGTCAGTGTAGGGGACCCTAGCTAGCCATCGGCAGGGCATTAAACAGTATTGGAGAAAGTCTTAACTTTGGCCACCTGATGCTAACTAGTAGGGGTTATCTCTAGTTAACTAGTAGGGGTTATCTCTCTTTTTCCTTTAAATTTTAGGTTGGAATTTAAAGACATACCATGAGCAGTATTCATGAGAGGGTCCTTTTCTTCACAGGCAGTAGAAATCTGAGATTCTTAGAAATAAGTTTTGTCAGGGAAGAAGGACTTGCCAATAAGTTTCATGACTGACAGAAAATTGCAAAATGTGGCACTTTAAAAGTTAGAAAGGAGCATTAACATTTCCAGGTACCTTTCAAATCTTCCCAGCTATGAAGCAACTAAGATCTCACTGGAACACTGGGAGGGGGAGGAGGGAAACAAGGAGTCAGATTGCACCCAGCGGGCCCGGGCTAGTCATGCCCGGGTGTGTCATCTGCCCCATCAGATCCTGATAAGCATCATGGAATCAGAAAAGTATTGCTGCAAAATTCCAGCCTCACTTTCTTGTAAACAGCAAATGATTTATTTGTAGAAGTCAAAGTGTTTTTTTTGAAAGCAAGTTTTTTGGTTTTTTTTTTTTTCCAAAAGCAATCTGTGTGCATGTGTTTGTGTGGTCATAATATTTAAATTGTTTTTGGAATTTGAATAGGTTTTATCTCCTTCTTAATCACCATGACCTTGTTTGTTTACATGGAAAGAAACTCAGGTTGGCTGGTTGGTTGATCTCATATGTGGAAGTTGGGAACAGTGACTTCCAGAAGCCACGTCATGGCAAATAGGATGCTGAGAATTTGTGACATAGGTCATCCCTTTACCCTCAGTTTGGACTGTGCTTGAACCATTTTCCAACTAAGAAAAAGCAAGAAATACCTTGGATACATCCATATCAGACATTAAAATGACTCCCTGTAGTGACTCACTGATGATGGCATGCCTGTTACAAGAACTCTCTTTTCCTCGCAGAGAACATAAAACCCTACCTCTGTTATGAAATCCGTGTGTATGCACTGTCAGGGGATCAAGGAGGATGCAGCTCCACCCTGGGTAACTCCAAGTACAAGGGTGAGTCTTGGGACCTTTAGCAAAATTTTCCTTTAGTTTAATGATGTGGATTCGAAGGGTGACAGAAGCCTCCTGTGTTCTACTTTACAGCACCACTGCGTGGCCCCCACATTAATGCCATCACAGAGGAAAAGGGGAGCGTTTTGATTTCATGGAACAGCATTCCAGCCCAGGAGCAGATGGGCTGCATCCTCAATTACAGGATATATTGGAGAGAACGGGACTCCAATTCCAAACCTCAGCTCTGTGGTACGTGTGAGAACCAAATGCAATGAGGCCTTCATGTTTGGATGTCAGGAAAACACAAGCTGGTGTATGTGTATATCTACACATGTGCTGGCACCGTGCCCGGCACTTAGTAAGTACTCAATAAATATTTGTGAAATTAATTGAATGGAGAAATATAAAAGACATCTAAACACACACATGAAGTATTGAATATGTGTTATGTGCCCAGCAAATTGCTAAGCATACAGAGATGAAGTAAATGGACGAGCTGTCAAGTGCTTACTCCTATGGAGAGACAGCATTTCCGAAAGCCATACAGGCACTTCAATGCTGTGTAAACCCTAGAGGTTCACGAGGAATGCATTTGGACAACTTTTAAATCCCCACATTGGCAATTACCATCGTAGCATATTATCCTCTCCTCAAAATGGACAAAATCAAATACAGTTTAAGTAACCCTTTATGACCCATAATTATTCTATAACTGTGAAACGAAAGCAATTAAAATAAACTCTGGCTAGAGCATTGTCTCAAATGAGTTCATGGACCGCTCATTTGGTCAGCAACTCCAAGTCACTTGCCAGATTGGATGTTCCAATCTTTGATTTATTCAGATCTTTTGTTTTTCTTGAACTTCTCTTCACTTTGTAAGCAGCTGGCCTTCTTTCAGGAGCACTTATCATAAATAAGGAACATTTTTATTCCTTTATGAGAGTTATTAAGTCCAAGAATAATATAACAAAGCCACCCTGAGATGTAGCTGCCAGAGAGCTGCCTGCAGGGGTAATTTTTACCCAGGAAGCTTTAAGAGTTGGTATTCCCTCTTGACCTTAGGAGATTTGCAGTATGACTTTAAAAGCTAGTTAGTTTTTTATTATATAAATAATACTTGCACATGGTAAAAACATTCAGATAGTTCAGAAAGATATAAATGAAAATTCTCCCTTCCTTCACACTTAGGCTGTTAGCAATTCCTTGTGTGTTCGTCCAGGAAAAAAAAAAAAGTTTTAATGCATATTCAAGAATCTATTTGGGATCTTTCTCTATGATCTAAACCTTGCCATTATCTCTCAGTAACACCTACTGGAGAGCTTTCCACGTAAGTCCATGTGAATTTGCCTCATTCTTTTTCATCAGCTCCGTAGTATTCCATTATAAGGCCCGATGATCATTTGTTTAATACACCATTGATAAACAGAATGTATCACTGAATAGAACTGCTTCCCCCTAGGCCTGTCGGGGTAAATCATTTCTGAAATGCACCCCAAGAGGCGAACAATCAATTGACCTCTTCTTAAGCCATTTGAAACTCTTCATGTGAAATTTGCCCCCCAAATAATTCTCCTTTTGGCAGAGTTTAAACTGAGATGCCTGTTTACAGCCGGAAAGATCAACCTGATCAGTGGGTTCTTGAAGCTTCCCTCATGGATGTTGAAGAAAATATCTACCTTACATGGCCACAAACCTGATGACTCTAAATACCCCTTGTGAGGGTATTTTTAAAATGAGTTAAAAGACAAGAAAGAGCACAGACTTATAGTCCTATTTTATGCCAGTTTAGATTAAATTTTGTTTAATTCGGTAAATATTTGTTGATGAGTAAGACCCGTGCCCTATCTTCAGAGAGCTCGCAGCTATGGACGGAGATAGAAGAGTACACAAAAGTGATGTAACTGCTATGATGAAAGACAGACAACTGCCTGTCACATTTGGCAGCCAGAAATCATAGGCGAATTCACCAGGGCAGTTTCTAGAGAGTGGTAGGAGGTAGCAGGTAGAGGAGGAGGGAGAAAGACACCAGGAGAGATAGCCCTCATGGTAGGGAAGAAGGGGCCCCATCTTACTCGTGTTTTGGCACCACTGACCAGGCAGCAGTGCTAAGGGCACATGCAGAGTGCGGCAGGAGCAGAACACGTAGGGCACTCAGCCCTCCCCTGGCAGGAGAGGTGAGGTGTAGAGCCGGGGTGGGGCCTGGGCATCTGCATCGTAGTGAATTCCATGGGCGGTTCTGGTGCACGACCACCCCTCCAGAAGCTTAGCTATGTTGCCATGTGCACGGATGAACCAGTGGCTAGTACACGTCTTTACTGGAGGACGCATCAGACTTTGTTACTACCTGTTGTCTTTGCCAACAGACTCTAAGCATCATGAGAGCAGAAGCCATGGCAATTGCTCACTATTGTCTCCCCTGCATTTAGAATGCAGCCAAGCATGTGGCAGGCGCTTATAAAAGCAAATGGCTAAATACCGCCCTACCCTTTGTTAAACTCAACATAGATCATTAGGTAAAACTCATTTCCAGTAACAATGCAGTTATTTTGCCTGGTACCACCTGACCTTCCTACCTACAGCCTCTCAGATGGTTGGCAACAATCACATTTTCCTAAACTGATGTCTTCATCATTTAACCACTCCTAGTCTAAAGTTTCAGACTGCCAAGGATTGAATGGCCTCCTTTATCTCTGCCAGAGATCACGGCCCAGAGGCAGCAGGACCAGTATTTCCTGCTGGACGTCTTGACTTCTTTCTCCTATTACACAACTCAGCCTATTTTGCCAACCAAACTGCTGACACCATCCTCCTCACTGCTTCGCCCATAGAGGTTCTATTTTTGTTCTTCAAATATACGTGTGCGTATGAACTTCATCGGCCCAGCAAACCGTACAAATCCCTTCCCTCTGCTCCTACATCTCATTTCACTCCCAGAGCGAAGGATGCCCTCACCCAGTTGCACAGTCGACTCCCCGATGCTCGCTGATGTTTTGCTGCAGCAAGATGAGCAGAAGGCCTCCCTAAATTAATTTTTTAATCCCCTGCCTTAGGAAGAGGAAAAGGGCTTTTTGGGCTCAATCATATAGATTAAGTCTGTGCAAGCAATTTCACCAGGCTAGAGTAGACTTGGAAATTTTCCACAAGGACTTTTCTCAACAGAATGTAAAATATAGAAATTGCTCTGATATCACAGCTATTAAATTATTCGCTCAGACCTCAGCTGCTTTGGGTGGAATGGAGGTAATATTACAGGGCTCCGTGTTGCTAATTACCCATAGTACTCTGGAAGGGGATAGTGTTAAGGGGTCTCTTTTCACTAGTAGATAGTAAACTCTTTGAGGCAGATTCTGTGCCTTTGTATTGTCAATGCCTTGTCCAATGTAGGCACTCAATAAATATTTGTGACTTTTGAAATGAATTCAGCATGCAGGACGTCATCTGACTTTCCCTGGAGTTTGTGAGCCAGTATATGACATGCAGACACAACCTGCTGAGTTCTAGTTTCCCTTTGATCAGCAGCACAGGTGAGGCCATCTCATGAGCTGGCAGGTGCTGGCCTTGACTTTACCATCCTCCCGAGCTTTGGCGAGGTCACTCCAAAACCCACACCCAGCAGGTCACTGCAGGAGAAGATTGCCTATTTACTAAAATCTATCAACACTTATGTTTCTCGGAGGAAAAATAATAATATCAGTGCATTGCTCAAAAAACAAAATCTTCCCTGCAGAGAAAACTGCAGGGGTGTTGCGAGCATAAGGAACGGATAATCTAGGCTTACACCTGCCAAATAAGTCTAAGTACCATTGCTCTACTTTTTAATGATTTTATGTCAAATTGAAGCAGATCATCATATTAAGCCCTATAAGCTCGGGACCCAGAGCCTACAAAAAGAAAAGTGCAAAATCTAAATCTAAAAATCTTAAGTGAATGGCTATTTCATCAATTGCAAAATTTAGCTTTCTTAAAAATTCCATTACCTTGAAAACAATTTGTACATCTCATTTTCTCCTCAAGAATTCTCCAATATACCTGATAAATACTGGAAACAGTGTAGTCATAGGAAATAAAAGGAGTGACTATGGCTAAATAATTTCAAAATCAAGATGACAAAAATTCCTTCAAAAGATTTTGCCACAGAAAAAGTATTTAATTTGTTTGATATGGTATGGAATGAGATCTCCATAATAACAGTGTCTAGGGCCTATTAAAGTATTAAGTGCTGAGGAATTAGGACTATTTTCAAACAGCAAAGTGCTTTTTCTTTCAAATTAGATGAAGCATTAAAAAGTAAAAATGATTCAGGCATGTACAAGAAGCTATAAAAAAAAGTAAAAATGAGTAAAAGCCCATATTCAATCATTTCCTTTAATACATGCCTTTCTTCCTTTATCTTTATCTGTTTTTCAGAAATTCCCTACAGAGTCTCCCAAAATTCACATCCAATAAACAGCCTGCAGCCCAGGGTGACATATGTCCTGTGGATGACAGCTCTGACAGCTGCTGGTGAAAGTTCCCAAGGAAATGAGAGGGAATTTTGTCTGCAAGGTGAGAGACAACTTTAAAGATGGTATGTCTACCCTTGATTCTTACACAGCCATGCATTCGCACTACCACTGGCATGGAGATTATCATATGTTCTTTCATTTACTAAGTACTTTCTTGCTGTCACACTTTCTTGTTGTCACTCTTTCCTCTAACTGGTATACCCTACCACTCCATTGTCTTCTTGGAGACAGCATCTACTCATGTTTCACAATTTAGCAAAAATATTTCCTCTTCCAGGAAGCCTTCCCAAATGCACCTCCATATTCCTTCTATGATGCACTGCATTTGACCCTTACTCAAAACTCTGAAACCAGGCTGGGTGCGGTGGCTCACGCCTGTAATCCTAGTATTTTGGGAGGTCAAGGCAGGAGGATCACTTGAGGACAGGAGTTCAAGACCCAGTCTGAGCAAGAGCAAGACCCCATCTCTACAAAAAATAGAAAAATTAGCTGGGCATGGTGGCACGTGCCTGTAGTCCCAGCTACTTGGGAGGTTAAGGCAGGAGAATTGCTTGAGCCCAGGAGTTTGAGGTTACTGTGAGCTATGATGATGCCCCAGCACTCTAGCCCGAGTGACAGAGTGAGACTCTGTCTCAAAACAAACAAAAACAAAAACAAACACACAAAAAAACTCTGAATCCAGTAGGCAAGGACTGATAACTGTATATCTCTATCTTCAAGGCCTTGAATGGTGCCCAGTTCGCAGTACTTGCTCACTAAATATCCATTCAATGAATGATGGGAGAATTACATCGACAATAGCAATAGAGGCTATTGCATATCAGGCAGTTTTATGCAACAGTCATTCTGTTAAACACTTTGCTGGGATGCTGTAGCAAAGTACCACAAGTGGAGTGGCTTAACCAACAGAAATTTATTATCTCACAGTTCTAGGGTCTAGAAGTCCAAGATAAAGGTGTCGGCAGGGTTGGTTCCTTATGGGGGCTATGAGAGAGAATCTACTCTAGGCCTTTCTTCCAGCTTCTGGAAGTTTGCAGACAGTCATTGATGTTCCTTGGCTTCTAGATCTCTGCCTCCATTCTACATTCTCTGTGTGTCCAAATTTTCTCCTTTTGGCCGGGAGCGGTGGCTCACACCTGTCATCCTAGCACTCTGGGAGGCCGAGGTGGGCAGATTGTTTGAGCTCAGGAGTTCGAGACCAGCCTGAGCAAGAGCGAGACCCCGCCTCTACTAAAATTAGAAAGAAATTAATCGGCCAATTAAAAAAATATATTTAGCCGGGCATGGTGGCGCATGCCTGTAGTCCCAGCTACTCAGGAGGCTGACTCAGGAGGATTGCTTGAGCCCAGGAGTTTGAGGCTGCTGTGAGCTAGGCTGACGCCACGGCAGTCACTCTAGCCAGGGCAAAAGAGTGAGACTCTGTCTCAAAAAAAAAAAGAAAAAAAAGAAAAAACAAATTTTCTCCTTTTTATAAGGACTCCAGTCACATTGGATTAGGGGCTCACCCTACTCTAGTATGACCTCATCTTAACTAATTATATCCACGATGACCCTATTTTCAAATGAGGTCACATTCTGAGGTATTGGGGTTTAGGACTTCAACATATGGATTTGGGGGGCACACAATTCAACCCATAACACATACTTTTGCTAATTTATCCTTCCAAAATTACATGGCCCATACTACCAGGCACTCAATGTGAAATGAATAAAAGATGAGGGATTTTTCTGCCTTTTTACAAGTGAAGGAACTAAGGTACAGAAAGATTACCCAAGGTCATGGAGGTGTTAAGTGGCAGAACTACAAATCAAACTCAGATTTGGTTTCTCAAATTAAGTTAAATTTGAGTTTATGAATAAGTGACCCAGCTAACATGGGCTTCTCTTCACCAACCAAGTTACGCTGTTCTCTTCTGCAATGTTCATTGGCATCTGCTCTCAGCATAAAACAAGCTGTTCTCATTCTGTGGTACGGAGCATCTGGTTGATCATTCAGGACTTCGCTGTTCTATGTATGCCACTGGGAAACTCCGCCGGGAAAGTTGACAAGCCCTTTTCTCACCTCCCCAGCACGCCCATGAAAGTTAACTTGTGAGCAATTAAGATGGATTAAGGACTCAGCAGCTTTCTCCTGGTGCTACTCCAAACATGTCCCATCTGCCCAGGAAGGAAGGCAGATCCTGAAGAATTGTCAGATTCCCCTGATTGTGTGGGGTAGAAAAAAGGTTGCCTCCATGAATTCCCCCATTCAGTCCTGTTGACACACCCCTCCCGGGCCTAACAGGTCTCTGGCCTCTAATTCCTCCTGCTCACTGTTCCTCCCAACCTGTCCTTCACTCAATCAGAAGAAGAATCTTTCTGCAAGCGCCCAGATGCTGACATTCCATCTCTTGTCGTAACTCATCAGTAGTTTCCTAAGGGCCTTCAAGCTAGAATTCGAACTGCAGGATCCTCTTTACCCACCTAGCTTTATGCTTTGCCACACATGTCAGCAGACTGCCTGCAGCTGCCTGAAAGTACTGGCTGTTCCTTCTTTCCACAGCTGTGCGATGACATTCTCTTTGTCTGGTCTGGTCTTCCTTGTCCACTTAGCTGACTCCTATTCATCCTCCAACTCTAACCTTTTGACATTGTGCCTTTTGCAAAACCTTCCTCAGCTACTCCTGAGGCAGTTTCCCATGCTGTTCTCTGCGACACTGACTATGAGTATTGGACATACCCCTGTTTTCACACCTGTCCCATGGCATTGTGGTTTACTGCTTACATGTTCACATATCCATCTCCTGGACTACACTCATGACTTCTTTAGACAACAGAGCCTATGTCTTAGTCATCTTTGTATCCCAGCTCCTAATAGAACCTGGTACATGGTCAGTACTTAATGAATGTTGGATGAATTAATGAATAATTCCAACAGGCAGTGAAATGCTGTGTAGTTCTCTTCATGGGAAGGAATAGGCACAATTTCAAAGACCATAGCTGGATAGAGGGCATGTCCCATGGGTTAGTCAAATTAATAGCTATATATTCAGGAAGCTATATTCAGAGACATTGCCCTATGCTTTAAATAAATCATCTCTAATCTTCATAACAACCCTCAAGGTAGACGTCATCATTCACATTTTATAGATCAAGAAACTGAGGTCCACAGATCACATATCTGTTAGTGGCACACCTGGGACTAGAACTCAGGGCTCCCAGTCACCAGTATGCTTTGGATTCCATACCTCCTTTCTTCTGCCCCTGTGAGAGGCAGGGCTGGTGCTCTTCTTAGAACCATAGAATCAGTCCCCCTAGGGCCCCTGGTCCCTCACTGAATGGACAAAAATGCATTGGCCTGGTTACTGAGCCCAGCTGCCCAGGAGCTGTGGGTAGGGCCCAGAGCATTCACCCAACAGTGTATTGAAATGTTCCCTGAAGATAACTCAGTCACAAGATTTACTAACTTTTCAGGTAAAGCCAATTGGAAGGTGTTTGTGGCACCGAGCATTTGCATTGCTATCATCATGGTGGGCATTTTCTCAATGCGTTACTTCCGGCAAAAGTGAGTTGGTTACACCTTTCAATTTGGTAAATGTATTTATTTTTTTAAATGATAATAGCTGTTGCTGCTATGAGTCAGGGAAATGGATGCCCTCATACATTGCATGGTGGCAGACTAAACTTATTCAGCCTTATTGGGTGACAGTATGTGTCAAATTTTTTAAAATATAACTCTGGACCTAATAATTCCTAACTAGAAACTTATTCTAAGTATGTCATAGATGTCTGTAGATACTCAGTGGAAAATATGTTCACTGAAATACTGTTCACAAAAGAAAAATATTTGAAACAGCTTAAATACCCAATGATAAGGAATCGATTAACTAAATCAAAATATAACTCATACTGTATTATGCATCCATTAAAGATGATGTAGAAAATTAAATGATATAAATGATATTTGCTATATTATGTTTAAAAAGCAGGTTACAGAACAATATGTACTTTCATTTCTTAAAAATAGTGCATACAGGCTGGGTGCAGTGGCTCACGCCTGTAATCCTAGCACTCTGAGAGGCCGAGGCGGGAGGATTGCTTGAGCTCAGGGGTTCGAGATCAGCCGAGCAAGAGTGAGACCCTGTCTTATAAAAAAAAAAAGAAAATAAAATTTAAAAAAAAATAGTGCATACAGACATACATATGCAAGCTTTATCAGCATTATGTTTGGTGATATTAATATAAAAAGCAAAATTAATATGACTTAAACTAGCTAACAGTTTCTCACTCAGGTAAAGGAAGTAAACTCAGGTAAAGGGCTGGTGTGGTAGCTCCGCAGTCATCAGGGACCTAGGCGCCTTCCATTTTTCTGCTCCACTGTTCCAACATTAGCTTCCTCAAGTTCACCTCAAGTTCACCAACGGCTACAGGAGCTGTTGCCATCGTGCCTGCATTCTACCACTACAGGAAGAAAGAAGAAAGGTGCTCACACTTCCCGTTTAAGGAGCCATCAATAAGTCACACATGACACCTTTGGTAACATCTCACTGGTCAGAAATTGCTGACGCAAGGGAGGCTTAAAGTTGTGGTCTTTTAGCCAAGTTCATTGTCATCCCAGTAAATCAGGGTCCTCTTCCTAAGAAAGAGGGGAAATGGATATTAGATGGCAGTTACTCCTGTGGCCCCAGGATATATACCACAATATTAATAGTGTTTATATCTACGGATAGAATCATAGGTGATTTTAGGTTTTTTTAAACTATTATTTCCTAAAATTTTCTTACTAAACTTGTATTATTTTGTAAAGAAAAAAATTTTAATGAGTTAGTTATTCAATACAAACCATAGAATCGGTCCTCCTAGGGCCCCTGGTCCCTCACTTCAGATGCTGTGCAAAGGAATAGAACAGTTTAAAATAAAATTAGCTCAAAGTCATTCTACTAGCCATTGAACTTGTCCACCAGGCTTTACATTTATTGAAGATCCAATGTGTGATAGATACTTCAAAGCAAAGCTCACTTTCTAGGTAGACTTTGCAAAAGTTTAATTCAGAAAGAGTCAGCTAGGATCACATGCATCCTCTTCATGGACATAGCGAGGATCAGTTAGGATGAGGGCTAAGCTGCTGTTTCAAAAAAAAAGGACCCAAAATACAGTGGCTTAAATGAAATAGTTGCTTTCTCTCCCGTGTAGTAGTACTGAGGGCAGCATCCTGGTTCTGCTCCACATGGTCACGTGGGAACCCAGTTTTCTTCCATCCTCTTGGTCTACCATCCCTGGGACACTGCCCTCGTCCGCGTCATCTGTGCTAAATCACAGACACCTCGCTCACGTTTCCCTGGAGAAGAGCTAGTCACATGGCCACATCTCTTACTTCAAAATGTTAGACAAGTTGTAGAAGCACACTTTTCTGATAAAACATCAAAGCTTATCAAAGCCAAGTCATTAAAGATGTTTCATATTGGTCTTGGACTTCCAAAACATAGTCAAAATATTTCAGTGACATGCATTTATAAGAAATATTTGTAAGGATTTTTTTTTTCTTTTACGTCAAAAAAGACCTATATTTCCTCTGATCACCAAATACAACCACTGTTAACAGTTCAGATATTTCCCTATAATACTTTTTCTTGGCATTTTTTTACATGGTTATATTCAGGCTATTTATACCATTTTGAATCCTCTTTGATTTTGGGTTGTTTTTTTTTTTAACTTTTACCTTAATAATTTACCTGTCATTATGAACTCTTTGTAAATATTCTAATTAGCTAAATAGTAAGAGTAGGGACCATGTCTTCTTGTTTTCTGTTCTTTCCCCAATGTGTAGCATTGTGCTGGTCACATATCAGGGAGTCAATTAATATTTGTTGAATGAATGCATGGCTGGATAGTGACGGATTGCTAAACATGACGCTGAGCAAATGTTCCATGGTTTATTTAGCAAAGCCCAAGCGGCTGCATCTTAACTCCTTATCATCAATCCAAACTTCACAGAAAACTACTCCAGCCTTGGATGATGCATCATCTTTGCTTTCAGTGTTTATATTTTACTTATTTGCATGCAAAAGCAACCCCCTCACTGAAATCACTGCGCCGAGAATCTGTGCTGCTGTGCCACTGTGTGCACACGTAACTGAATGTCACTCTTTTCTTTACCTACAGGGTGTTTGTTCTCCTTTTGGCCCTCAGACCTCAGTGGTGTAGCAAAGAAATTCCAGACCCAGCAAACAGCACTTGGGCCAAGAAATATCCCATTGCAGAGGTAAGGGATAATGCCTTTGTGTCAGCTGAGGGGGTTCTAGTGGTCACAGCTAAGTACTCTACCGCAGTTACGAGGAAGCCTGAGTGCTGAGTTCCTGCGGGTGAGCGGAAGGCGTTCGTGCTGAGCTACACTGAGTCATCACGCTCACTTTCTTCCTGGACTCCAGAGCAACGGATGCACAGGAATCTTCTGAAGCTTGTAACCAGAAGACTAAAAGGCCCATAGCTTTTTTGTTCCTCCATATGCCTTCCATTCTCTTTCCCACCTTTACTTACTTCAAAAGGAATAGGAAAGCAAGTATTTTTTGCCATTTGCTGAGCATTAGCCTGAGCATTGACTCATCCAAAATTCAAGAGAATTGAAGCTTTTGACTTTCCTGTCTGAGCACAGAACAGATAAATAGAACCCACACTGTCTCGGCTTGGGCAGGAAGCCAGTACGTCATTCCATTGTGCAAAGAAAAGGTTTTAAAGAAGGAAAGGTTGCTCAGCTGACAGATGAGAGCACTGAGAGTAGAGGGAGTGAAGGGAGCTGCCGCTGACCAGGAAAAGGAGGCGAGAGCAGCTCACGGTGCGCAGGGCGGGCCCTCCCTGGTGGAGGGTCTGGAGGTGATGGCATCTGAGTATGGAGCAAGACTGTATCTAAGGGGAGAACAGGGGAGGGAAGCGCATGCCAATATTCCTCCCATCGCCTGGGGCTTTCTTGGGCCTTATATCCCTTCTCCTCCAAGCTTCTTCTCTTCAACTACCCAGTGTGTGCTCTCATCCACACCCTTCCTTGGATGAAAGCCAGGGTTCCTGGCCTCTGCTCAGGGACGGAGCCGATCCCAGCCACGTCTGCCTTAGGAATTTAAGTCACTACAGTTTAGTGCCTTTGGATTCAGGCCTTGAGGCCACCCCTGCCTCCGCCACTAAGTATGTGTGTGCCTCTTGGACAACTGGCCCAACTATCAGAGTCCTAGTTTCATCCCCTGTAAAACAGGAATCGACAATGCTTCCCTTATATACTGTTGAGAGGCTGAAATAGATGCCACGTAAAGCATGTGGGCCAAACAAGACAAAGATCATTCACTTTCTTCCAGGAAGACCCATACTTCAAGTCTCCACTGAGACTGTTAAGTTACAATAGCAAGAATAGTGATAATAACAGCAGTATATGCATTTATATTAATATATAACACATTACATATTTTATATGTTTTCTGTTATATATCATATACAATTCTATAATATGTTATATAGTCATTATTATATTTTACATATATTACTTTCTGTGTACCGGGCACTTGTAAAAACATTTTAATACATTAACATTTAAGCCATACAACAGTTTTATGTGATTGTACTATTATTATCCTCATTTTTCAGATGAGGAAACTGAGACACAGAAGACTAAGTAACTTGCCCAACATTAGTCAGCAGCTAGTAAATGGTCAGTCCTGGATTCCTATCAAAGCAGGATGTGCTGTTCAGCATTGCGCCATACATTCTAAAGATCTTGAAGCACAGGGTGAGGGGAGTGTTTGTAGCAGTCTACACCTCCGAACTGAACAGACTCAAACTAAGAGAGGTGTTCGCCCCCCAGGCCCTCATGCGGTGGCAATATTGTGCTGATCTATGGGAACACACTTGACAAGCCGTGAGGCCTTATAAGGATGCCACTGCTACCGTTAGAGGGGATTCAAGTGCCAGGTGTGAACCAGCTGAGCTTTCAGGTGTCTTCCAATGCTGAGATTCCACAGTCTCACGTCCTAAAAGCTTGGAGGCAGCTCTGGGTCAGTCACAGACACCTGGCTTACAAGCTGTCTGCCTTTGCTTAGGGGTTACAGAAGCAGACAGAGCCACAAAAGGGGCTGTAAAAAGCCCAAGCACGATGCCGAGAAAGATGCACGAAGAGTTAGAGAAAGCAACACAGGAGGAAGGTAACAAATTGGCACATGCCCAAGGTTACATGGCGTAAGTGTGTTCATTGCAGCATTATAAACAGAAGCAAAACTTGGGCATAATATGAAGGTCCACTTGGGGGGCAGGTTAAACATTTTGGATGCATCCATACAACAAGATCTGACACAACTACTAAAAAACAAATGAGATAGATCTGTTCATGCCTAAAGAGCTCCAAGGTACTTAAAAGTGAAAAAGGTAAAGTTTATAACGATTGTCTAAAGGTAAGTCTCATTTGTATAAAAAGGAGGAAAATTTTATACACATTCATACCTCTGCAGCATGTGCACAGGAGGTTTCTGGAAGCCTTCAACGATATATATGAAACTGATATGAAACCCCCTCTGGGGAGGGGGTTGGGAGTATGAGGGCCACTTAATTTTTATTACATATTCCCTTTTAACTTTTAAAATTTTTAAAGAAAGCTATGTGCATATATATATATTTCTTTTTCCTTTGCAAAAATAACAAGTGAATTAGAAAATTTTAAAAATTAAGTAGCTTAAATAGGGCCTCCAAGACGGCAGCCTTTGAGGCAGCCTCAGAGGCTTAACCCTTGAAGTGGGTAGACTGTTTTTAGAGAATCAAACTGCTCTCCTGGTGCTAGGCTGAGGCAGACAACAGAAACACAATCATCTCTCTTTCCACTTCAGCAAATGTGCTCTCAGGCTTTACACCCCCTTACCATTTCTTAAGTTGCAGCTCAAAACCACGTGCCTTAAAGCTCTGTAGGAAAAGGTCGAGTCACGAAGGGGATCACTGGAATGTTATCCAGCTTGTAAAAGCTTAAAATAGCGTCCGCGGGGTTCTCGAGCCAACCATGGTTTAAGAGGCTTACCCCCAGGACTTGTCACCAGAGGGCCTGCTTTGTACAAGCTCTGAGAAGCAGCCTCTCTCAGTTTTGCCAAAGCTTTCACGACCGCAAAGGCGAACACATCACCTGTGAGCACAGCAAGCCATTTCTGCATCCGTGTACTTTCCCACATCTGCAGTAGCAGCGCTTTGGCTGCTCTGCTTCCCAGAGCTGCCAGCCGTGTTCCAAGCCAGACCAACGTGCCAGGGCCAGTTTGGGTAGTGATCAGAAAAGAGCAGACTCCCTAAAGAGAAACACACATGCGCGCGCACACACACACACACACACACACACACACACACACACACACCCTCTGGCTTGGCAGGGCCCTTCGCAGAAATCTGTGCCGACACAGGGCTATCGTTCGCTTTCTTGACACTTGCCATGCCCAAGGCAAGGGCAGGGACATCAGAGGTAGATCCAGACCAAACCCCTCTTGCACGACTTGTCATTTGACAAATGAGAGAACTGGGGCCCAGAGAGGTTGATTGTGTTTTCACGGGGCCACAGAACATCAGAGCTGGGACTAGTCCCCAGGGTTTGTCTTGTCCCATGGCTATTTTATGTCATCTTACTCCTCCCTTAAGACATGGTCCCTGTGTGCAGATGGCTTACAGACATATAAAAAAAAAGTGATAGTGCAAAGCATCACGTGCCACAGACCTGATGGGTGGTTTCTTCACTATGTTTGGAGTCCAGGAAAGGAACAGTCACGAGGGGCTCAATGGAAGGGGGAGGTATCACACGGGAGATGGAGGAGCAGATAGGGTGGAGGCTGGTGGTAGCAGTGAAAGTGTTGGTGGCACTAAGAAAAGAGTATTTTAACAAGACTGGGACCATGGCTGAAAGAGCATGGGAAGGGAAACACGGAGAGGTGGAGGAAGGGCAGGAACTCGACTGCCAGGCTGAGGGCGGGACTCGTCACTGGACATGCCAGCCCCATCATCACAGGCTCTGGGGCCTGCTTTAGAAAGATCAGGCGTCGGGTGTAAGATGGTTTCTGGGAGGTAAGGAGAGCCCGATTAAAGCCTAGTGGAAGTGTTACTAAAGTGCCAAGGGCTCGGCCTGGAGAATGGGCAGTAAGTCTGGAAAGGAAAGAGATAAGAACATTGAAAAGCTAGTAGACGACAGGATGCTGAGAAAGAGAAAGTGGGAGAATTAACCAAGTCACAAAAGTGCATTTAAACAAACAAAATTAGCTAAAGGGAAAAGAGGATGAAAAATTTCTTCAAGAAAGTTATTCTAGAGCGGTCTTTCTTAAAAGCAGATCTGACAGGAATATCACTCTGCCTGGAGTAGCAGACCTCTTGGAATCCCTTGGAAGGCCTTCATGGTGGGACCCCTTCCTGTTTCTGAAGCCTCAGTTTGCCAGTGATAAGAAATAACCAGCAGTTTCCAGAATACACCAGTCCTCCTTGGCCACCTCCTACCTACCTGGAAAACACCACAGTCTCTCAGGGCTCAGCTCTAGTGTCACCTTGTTACCTGTGTAGTGTGACCCTAAAGGCTTCCCCACCTCCATCCCCAGAGGCAAGCCCAGCCTTTCCTTTGCCCCCCGACACCCTCCCTCCTAGAGGAAAACAGGCAGCACCGCTGGAGCCACATTAGAAACAGCCTGGCTGAAGGCTGAGCCGGTCGTGGATCACTCACTGGCTGAGGCAGACAGGAGTCCCTGGCTCCTGCCTCTCTGCCTCCCTGACAAGGTTGCTTCTCTTACCTCGCGATGTCAAGGGCCCACAGTGTTCCACCCGAGGCTGAGTAGGCAGTGCAGGTTGGGAGGGCTTCGGGAACCCTGGAGAAGTAGGCTGTCCAGGTCCCTTACACAGCAATATGAGCCTCTTTCTCCTCCCTTCTCTCAGGAGAGGACACGACTGCCGCTGGACGGGCTCCTGACGGCCTGGCCCAGTCCTGAAGAACCTGAGCCCCTGGTCATCCATGAAGTCCTTCATCAGGTGACCCCAGTCTTCAGACATCCCCATCAGCCTTACTGGCCAGAAAAGGGACAAGGAGTCCAAGGTCACCATAGCTCTGAGGAAGACGCAGTGTGCAGTGCCTCAAGCCCATCACCTCCGCAAGCTCTCCCAGCTGAGAGAAGACAACTAGTGGGTCTCTACAGGGTGCTGGGCAGTAGGGGACCTGAAGCAAAGCCGGGAAACCCAGCCAGTCCCTTGACGGTCCTCCCAGTTGACTACCTTCCCACCCATGAGGGCTACTTGCCCTCCAGCCTAGATGAGGCTCCTCTCTCTGACCCTCTGGGAGAACTGGAGCCTCAGCACGTCTCTCTTTCTGTTTTCCCCTCAAGTTCCTTTCACCCGCTCACCTTCTCCTGTGGTGAGAAGCTAACTCTGGGTCAGTTAAAGATGGGGTGTGACTCCCTCATGCTCTGAGTAGTGAGACTTGAAGCCTGGTAGGTCAATGTGCCCCCAACCAGCACAGCCTGCCCCATTCACCTAGCCCCTACTCCTACCACCATCGGCTCTGGCTGCAGCTAGAGCAGGCCTGGCCGGTCTCGGGAACTGGGAGTTGGTCCTCCCCAGAGCCTTAAGATTACATCCTCCACCATGTGGACCTCGAGACTCCAGCCTGAGTTTCTGGCATGTTGGAGTTTCTTGGCTATGCTGGCCAGAAAGGGAAAAGGGGAGGAAAGTGGAAACCAAACCTCTTGCTAGTAATGGCAAGCTGGCCAGAGGCGCATTCATGCAACTATTTATAAAGCACCTACAACATACCAGCCCTCTGCTCTAGATCAGTACTGTCCAGTAGAACTTGCTGAGATGATGGGCATGTTCTGCCTCTGTGCTGCCCAATACAGTAGACACTAGCCACACTGGCTGTTAAGCACTTAGAATGTGTCTAGCTGGACTGAGGAACTAAATTTTGATTATAATTAAATGCAAATAGCCACACTCGGCTAGTGGCTGCTGTGCTGGGGATTGAAGCTCTGCACTGGTGGGAATTACAGGAGGCTTCAGAACAAATCAGCCTAGGGTTATGGATGAGGACATAAAAGACACTGGTGAACACCAGTATAAAGGGCCGCCACGGTGGTCATGAGTGTCCTCATTGGTGGAAGTCTAAGAATGTACCTTCTTCCTAGTGTTGCTAGTTTATCGTTTTATTTTGCCTTCACCCTCTTTCATGAACCCAGGGCAGCTTGACCGTGGGGAGCTACCGTAAACTCGCCGTAGGACCTTGGCAAGCCAGCCTCCCCGCTCAATCTTGGTGCTCTTGTAAAGGGCTGGACCAAAGGTTTTCCGATCCCTTGTCTCCTCTTCTTTTTGCTGCAGCAGTTGCTGCCTTCAGGGCCAGGGCTATCTCAGGGTCCAAGGCCCCGGCCTCCAAGGTCGCACTCACAAGTTGTCTGTCCTCTTCTCCTGGGGGCACTCTGCTTTCATTCCCTAAGAAGACTCTGAGTTGGTTCTCTGGCCGCTCAAGTTGAGCCTGTAAGGTAATCCCTTTTCCACAGCACGAGCTTGGAACGTGACATGTCTCTTGCTCGTTAAAGCTGTGGCCCCTGGCTTTTCGGCCTCCCTGGCCCGTTGCTGCTCTGTGCCTTCACTACAGACACTTCTGCTAAGCTGGTAGGGAAGAGTTTCGGTCTAAACTACTGATAGTACTTGTCCCAAAAGAGCAGGATGAAAGATCCAAGAGCCTTTGTCTTAAATCCCTGTCGAGCCTGGTGCCAACACTCCCTCCACCACCACCCCCCACCCACACTAACCCTGGAGCTGAGGCGGCTCTTCTGCTCTCTTTTGATGTCCATTCAACGAAGTATTTGTTGCAAACTTACACTCTTTCCCTAACCCACCAAACTACAAATGTGTCCCTACACAGCCGCGTCCTATGTAAATAACTGTTCTCAGCCGTGGGGTTGCCAGATTTCCCTCAGAGCTCTAGTAACTGAGCGATGGACATTTGCTCTGCTTGTTCGTGTTGAAACTCTTGACTCACCCTTGCTTGCTGCTATTCCAGACTTAACACACATATTCTCTCAGGCCTTCTCTGAAAAGCTTACGCTCCTGCCTTTGCATCCCTGTCCCCCCTACTGAGCTCCCGCGCCGCACCCCACGCCACGGTCCTTGCGCCTCGGCATCGGTCTGGCTTGTCTGCCCCGGGGACGTAGTGCCCCTGACTGCTCTTCACGGGCCATGGCAGGGCCACCTCCTCATAAGCAGGCCGACCTACTGCCTCTTGGCAGTGGGAGCTAACTTCACTGCTTCCTTACAATACCCATTTTTCCCTCTCTTTGGCTTCCTTGGTTACCTGTCACCCATCTTAGTCACTCTTCCCCCACCCCCGTGTCCATAACACCCAGCTCTGCATCTCCCATTTTATACTCCTCCACACACATATCCTTTGCTTTCCCTTAAAGCCCCAGGTGATACTATAGGACTCATTTGTCTTCCCCCACCACCCCACCAACGTTTGTAAGGAAGCCCTCCTTGACTCCCAACAGCTCCTCGTAAGGATGCTGCGGCCTCCTTGGTGCTGCCCCAGCGTGGTATCACTCATTCCTCTACTGGACTGCAGATGACTCGAAAGCAGGAAGCCGGGCGCCGTTTCCGCAGCACTGCTCCGGGTCCAGAGCAGCTACCAATAAAAAGTAACACTGTCACCTGCCATTGCTTTTGTCTTATTCCTTCTGTTCCAGAAGCCAGTCCATCTGTGCCTTCTTCCTCTTCACTAGGACAATAGGGTTTGCATTTGTCCCTCTTCATTCCCAGCCCCCATTTCCTCCTTTTATTGACAACACTGCTGTGATGCATGCAGTGGTGTTTGATTTTTTTTTTTTTTTTTTGAGACAGAGTCTCACTCTGTTGCCCTGGCTAGAGTGAGTGCCGTGGCGTCAGCCTAGCTCACAGCAACCTCAAACTCCTGGGCTCAAGCGATCCTCCTGCCTCAGCCTCCCGAGTAGCTGGGACTACAGGCATGCACCACCATGCCCGGCTAATTTTTTTTTTTTTTTTAGTTGTCCAGATAATTTCTTTCTATTTTTTTTTTAGTAGAGACCGGGCGGGGGCGGGGGGGGTCTCGCTCTTCCTCAGGCTGGTCTCGAACTCCTGAGCTCAAACAATCCGCCCGCCTCGGCCTCCCAGAGTGCTAGGATTATAGACGTGAGCCACCGCGCCCGGCCATGTTTGATTTTAAAGACATATTTAAGTATGCCTTTGGCAGCTCACTCTGCCAGATAAAATGTCCTCTTTCCATGAAGTACAGAGGATGGGTAACCTTGTTCTGCCATTGCCCTAAGTAGTTTACACAATCTGCCCTTGTGTCCCCCTCCCCAAGTCAAAACCCCACATCAGGTTGCCAGGTTTACCAGGACTATGTGGAGCTCAGCAACATACAGCCAGGCTTTCCTTCCTTAGGAAAAGGAGCAGTAATTTTAAATCCTCGCTCCTGACATACATCCCAAAGCCAACCCAGAAATCTCTGCTTTACTGAAACACGTCAGATTCCTTAACTGTCTGGGACCCAAGAACTATAAATAGAGTCCCTGAGTTCGTTCTTAATGAAGTCGCGGGAATCCCCACCATCAATTCTTGTGAGAGCCTCTTGTTCCTTGAAAGGCCTATCTCTTTCCTGGAAGATTCTATTTCCTGGGCTTCTGTCTACCTTAAAGGCAATAGGAAAGTCAAACTAGTGTTATTTAGTTTTTTCCCTTTACCGCCGTCTTCCCTCTCCCTGCAGGCCCCTCCCTCCTGATTTTTTAGCTTCCATTAAACAGCCTGCAGCTGCAACTCACCAATGCCTTGAGGCTAGCAAAAAAGACGCCAAACGAGGCACATTCTAGTATAGTCAATTCCCCATGTTTGCTTCTTGGTTTTTCTCCACCAGGTTCTGTCCTTTTCTGTCACCTGATACAGTTGTCACCTTTGAAAGGCACCACTCAAGCCCTCCAAAGGAGGCCTGTTTTTCTCTTCCTAGCCTGCAGACTGGACCCATGGATGTTCACATTATCCACTTCTGTGAGCTGACAGGTGAGCCCTCGTGAGTAAAACACCCTCTCAAACGAGAGATCAGAAAGGTCTCTTCTTCCCCCTTAAAAAAAGAAAAGCAGTGCTTGCTTTGGCAGCACATACACTAAAATTGGAACGACACAGCGAAGATTAGCATGGCCCCTACACACAGATGACACGTTTTATAACATTAAAAAAGAAAGAAAACAACAAAAAAAGCAATTCAATTGGCTGATAGAAATAATTAAATCTTTACATCACAATTTACACCAGAGTAAATTTCCAATAAATTAAAATTAGAACCCTGCAAAGCTCACATACACAAACTAGATAAAAATATTTACAACATATGCCAAAATAGCTTCCTCAATAAAGCACTCTTACAGATCAATATGAAAAGCCAATACTTCAAAAAAAGAAATGGATTCTGAGTGGGCAATTCACAAAATATGTATTAATAAGTATGAAAAAACAATTGCCTGTAATAAAAATGTAAATTAGATACTATTTTTCACTTATCAGATTAGCAAAGATTACAGAAAAATTAGCCAGTATTAATCAAGGAAACTGAAGTTCACAATCAGGAGTGTTAGTTGGCCCTTTCCTGGAGGGCAGTTGAGCAATATTCCATAAAATTTCAATCAGCAACTCCACTCCTCTCAATGTAGCCTAAGGAATAGCATAAATATCCTAAACTGAATGCAGAATTCCTCAACAGCATTGATTAAAATAGTAGTGGGTAGAGGGTAAGGAGGAGAGAGCCTTAAATGCCCTTCAGGAGGGACTTAGTTAAATTATGATATATCTATAAAATGAAACACAGAATTTCAAGGAATCTAAGATTCCATCAGTTTTAAGACACCTTGTTAGTTTATGTTCTAAGTAGAAAAAAAAATGCTAATAAAACTGTGATATGCCATCAATTTCTATAATGCACTTTTTTTACATTTTAATATGCCTGAAATTGGGATGGATCTTAGAATTGATAAAAAGCATAATATGCAGTCTTTTTAAAGGAGAGTATTTTGGCCAGGTGCGGTGGCTCATACCTGTAATCCCAGCACTTTGGGTGGCCAGGGCCAACTCCTTGCTTGAGGCTGAGAGCTGGAGACCAACCTGGGCAACATAGCAAGACCCCCATCTCTACAAAAAAAAAAAAAAAAAAATCAGCCGGGCGTGGTGGTGCATGCCTGTAGTCTTAGCTACTTGGGAGGCTAAAAAGCAGGAGGATCACTTGAGCCCAAGAGTTCAACGCTGCAGTAAGCTAGGATCCCACCACTGCACTCCAGCCTTGGTAACAGAGCAAGATCCCTTAAAAAAATAAAAAATGTAACAATATTTGACATGGAAATGGTCAGTTACAAAAGGCCGAATAATCTCACTTTTATAAATCAATGCAAAAACAAATCCTGAAAGAATATAAACCAAAATGCTAACAGTGGTTATCTC